TATATAATTATAATATAATATATATTTATGATTACATTTAATATAATACAAAAAACTATTATTATACAATATATTATATAATTATGATATAGAATATAATAATATTATTAAAATAATAACTTAAATAATTAAAAATGATGATTATATTATATTATATTATATAATCATTATTATATTATATTAAACAAAATATTATAATTAATATATTATATAATCATAACGAGTAATACGCTATAATCAATTAAAATTAGAATTATAAAGTTATATTAATATTTAATTATATTAATTATTATATTATTATTAATATCATAGATATAATTATATTAATACAATATAATATTATTATAAAATAATAATTATAATATCATATTATAATTATAGGAATTGTCTCTAATCCGGTACCGGATTAGAATGACACATGTATATTTTCTCTTCGGCACATGTATATTTCCTCTTTGGCACATGTATATTTTCTCTTAAAACATGTATAATACGAAAAGACACCTATAATTTATCTAAACACATATACACATTTTTAGAAGAAATATACATGTGTCAAAGAAAAAATGTACATGTTTTTAAAAGAAATATACACGTTATACTACAATCCGATACCGAATTAAAGACTTTACCTATAATTATATTATAATTATAATATTATATTATTAAAATAATTATAATATTATATGATAAAATAATAATATTATTTGTTACAATATTACTATTACATTATATAATGTAATATTATATTATGTTACGAGTTTGAATTTTAAATTGTAAAGATTGTAAATTTTAAATTTCATTAAGAGTATTATGGGTATTATAAAAATTTCATTAATTGTAATATGTTGACTCTCGCACAATCTAAAAGCTAAAGTTCCCTTTGAACTACTTCTGATTTTGATTGTAGATTCTTCAAAAAAATTTCAAAAAACACTTTCAAAGAATTTACCAAACACTAAAATTAACTTTTGCTACAACCAGAAGTTGATTTTAGGAGCAAAAAGCAATACTAAACGCAGCCATTATATTCATCAAAGCATGATCGAGAAGTTTAAATGCAAATATTAGTCAAAGGGTAGACTGGGGAAGAATAGGAGAACAAACTTATGCATCATCTCAGAATCATACAAATCTCACACTTTGCACATTGAGGAAAATGATAAATAATTCTATTTCTCCACCTATAAATTATAAACGACTACTTGAGAGTATTTATCTCTTGACACGTTCTAAGTCCAACGTCAAACGTTCAAATATTTCCCCATGAAGAGAATAATTTTGAGCAACAACCTTTTCCCGTCATTCACCACTTGCATACAAACGGGTCCATTCTTTTGCTGCTTGACAGATTCCAGTATGAAAAACAATTAGGACAGATGACAAAAACTAATTGATAAATGAAATGCTAATACGTCTTCAATGTATCAAGTATAATTGTCTCAGACCCCCAAAAAAAAAAAAAAAAAAAAGAAAAAAGAATAGAACTCTCCATAACATGAATGTCCCTTGTGTAGTCATTGCAACTTTCAATTTGCAACTTAGCATATATTTTAACGAAATTTTAGTTCAGATTCATATGGATTCTGGAATAGATGATCATTGATCACACAAAAACAAAGATAACATTTTAGCCAGTGATGAAAAATTTTACGCTGCTTTAATCTCAATGAAGCTTTTCTAGGGCTGCATAACTAAGATCTCATCACAAAAAACAAAGTCTGTATAGTGGGTACAAGATCTCATCACAATGAAGCTTTTATAGGGCTACATAACTAAGATCTCATCACAAAAAACAAAGTATAGTGGTACAAGATACTTTACCTGTCTCAACAGCTTCAGCTTCATTGGTCTTCCAGTGCTTAGCAATGTTTTCAGAAAGTGGGTCATCAGGGTTTGGAGCACTCAAAAGTGCTTGAATACTGATCCAGTAAACCATCATATAAAGTATCAGTATTATCTCTCATTGTTCATGACCTAAAAACCCACTATCATGACCAAGAAATAAATCTTATCTTCTAAGAAGTAGCCATTCTCAGTTATTACGAGGGAACAAGACGTCACCTTAGCAATACCGTTCGGATTTGAAGGGCTGGACTCCACTTATCTTTCAGAATATCAAGGCAAATCCTTCCAAGCTACAAAAAGAGATTTTCATATCTTTTATCTTCAGAAACATCAAAATAGAAGCACATAAAGTGGGAAAAAAAATAAGGTAAATGGAGTAGACAATTTACCTTGTCAATGTTAGGATGATATATTTTGGTGAGGAAGCGAACCTGTAAACAGGAGAAAGAAAAAACATGGTGAGAATAAGAGACTGGACAATATTTGTTAAAGGGTGCGGTTATGACAGAAATAACTATGTGGCACAAACATACTCAATACTTCCAAGAACTACAAGCTTATTTGCTGTTATTAGTTATTCTTCATGATACGTGTTTTCAATATTTTAGCAAATGAGTAGTGAATACTATTTTGAAACCTGCAGTCTCATTCAATAGGTCTTAGCTCAAACGTATATCTTCACTATTCTGTAATGAGTATTCCCTATTCTTTAAGGAAACATTTACTGTGAATGTATTGAGCACACAAAGTACACAACAAAACCTGGCAGAAGGAAATGTATATTTATTTACACATTTACCAAAGATGGAAGAAGGAAACACGGGCACAAATTTTGAGAGGTTAGAGATAATTGTGACATAATTATAAGATAGGTCCTGCATACTTTTCTGCCATCCTTGGGCAGTTTTTTGATAAAACTATGTTGTCTCAAAGTAGCAACTAGCTGAAGCAACATCCTAATGAATTACTCACTTTCTCAACACAAACAGTATGAATGCCTCCAAATGAAAGAGTAAGTGCGTGCATACAACATCACGCTTAAGCCTAAGAAGGGAATTACCTTTGGAGGTGCCATTGGATATTCTTCAGGCAAAAACAACTCCAACTTGAAAACACCACCTAAGCAGAAATGAATATGCGAACACATTATCAACATGATGCAATGCAAGAAAAAAATTACAACTAATCTAAGAAACAAAGAATAGATGCCTCGTACAATATCATATGGGCTATGGCTGACAACTACGTTATTTAATTACAATGGTTAGCTAACACAGAAAAGTAAGATGCCAAGATTAACACGGAGCACCCAATTATTGATGACTAAAAGGTACAAGTATCTAGATAGATGCTACAAGATCACAACTTCACAGCCATAATTTTTTCTTTTTTACCCACACATAATAAATGTAAGTTGTCATCCCTTAAAGAGTCCAATGACAGGTCAAGGGGATAAGAAACAAGCCCGGTATCTAACTCTGCAACAAGGCACAAGTTTCCTTGTATTATTCCAAACCAAATATCATACAAATATTATCAACAATCACACAGAAACATTTGCACAGAAATGTGGGCTCTTACTATTTCATTTCATGAGGGTAACAGAGAAAACAATATCATAATCCTTGTCTCATTCATATTTCTTATAGAAAACACTTGCAGTAAAACAGTAGGTACCACAAATAAGTATGCAGGAAAAGCAATTTAGCTCACTGATCAGTGATCACCTTCATATGGAGACTGAGATGGACCAAGAATCATCACATTGAAATATCGCATATTGTCTTCTGAAGGAGAAGCACTGATTCCTGGAGCTGTTGGGAAAACGTAATAAATTAGAAATTACAAAAGAAAAGAAAACGTATGATGATGCAAAATGCAAATAAGACGATTCTCATATATAACGTTTAGTAAGATCAATTTACTACAAGGCCCCAACTCAAAGCACTGGTTTGGTGGGGTGGTAAGGTGGCTCGCTTTCCTAAAGAAGTATTGGAATTGAGTCATTCTGATTGGGGTGGTTACGTGGTAAGTTAAAGTCATTGAAGCAATAGCTTATAGGTAGAATCAAGATGTGTTGGTGAAGCAGCCAAAGTGTGGAATACTGGTAGCTGAGTGAAACCATCAAAGTGGAAAAAAGCTCCCGCTAGACCAGTGTACATAACGTTGATCGTCATGGACGTCAATTAAAAAGCATGGTGGAATGTTAAAAATCTATTTTTATACATTTTATCATTTAATTTGAGTTTGAATTTGTCAAAATAGATAGTTTGTTGTACCATTCCTTTCAATTTAGGGATTGAGGGGTTGCGTCAATTGTGTGGTAGTGGTATTATGAGTAGGATTTTCATTTATATGTATTTTAGTTGTAAGTGAGTCAAATTGAAACATGGTTCGTTTTGTAATACTTCTCTATTTTAGATACCCAATAATTATTTCTGATATTTTGGTGTTTTTGGAGGTCTGGGTTCCTCGGAAAACCAACCAATAGAGGTTAAGGCTCCCTCAAATGAGCCTACACCTTTATTTTCATTAGTAACGGGTTCATAACAACAACTTTCAAGAAATAGTTGTTCTTTTAGAGTGTAATTTGAGTGTAATTTTTGAGTTGAATTTCAGTTATAACTTGAGTTAAAGTTGTAACTTGAATAAAGTTGAGAGTAAAGTTGAAACTTAAAAGAAAGTGAACTTGAATAAAATTATAACTTGAGTTTAAACTTTTTTTGAGTTTTGGTTTTTGAGTTGAATTTCAGTTCTAACTTGAATTAAAGTTGTAACTTGAATAAAGTTGAAACTTAAAAGAAGGTGAACTTGAAGAAAATTGTAACTTGAGTTTAAACTTTTTTTGAGTTTTGTTGTAAAAGAACGACCCAATTTCATACCGGGACTCTCATGAAATTTTCCCTAATTTCCACAACAATAAATAACAGCCGTACAGCTAACAATTACTGCCCGTTCATTTTACTGATTCGAGTTTAAAATTTGAGTTTTATTATAATAAAAAACTCTACAAAATAATAATATCTAATTTTTTTACTGAGTAAAAAAGTATCACATTTTAACTCAAATTAAAAACTCAAATCAGAGCCCATCCAAAATCTCAAAATTGCAAATTCCAGATTCTCCGCAAAACAAAATAATAAAAAAGAATAACAGCTGTACAGCTAACAATTACTGCCCGTTCATTTTACCGATTCGAGTTTAAAATTTGAGTTTTATTATAATAAAAAGCTCTACAAATAATAATATCTAACTTTTTTACTGAGTAAAAAAGTATCACATTTCAACTCAAATTAAAAACTCAAATCAGAGCCCATCCAAAATCTCAAAATTGCAAATTCCAGATTCTCCGCAAAACAAAATAATAAAAAAGACAAGATAGAGAAAGAGACGGACCTGGTTCACTGAGAAGTCTCTGCGTCTCCTATTCATCAATCAAAAAAACAAGAAAACCAAAAGAATCAAGACGAGAAATCTATACCCATGTCCGTACATGCATAAAGACACAAAGACACCTTTTTTATTTATGCTTTTGCATATAAAAGAGAGATAGGAAGTAAAGATCGGAAGTTGCAGAAGAGTACCTTGATGATTCTTCGAGGCAGATTACTGTTCGCCATTGATTCTCTTCCCCGGAGCGCTTCGCAGACAGAAATTTAGAGAGAGAGAGAGAGAGAGTCAGAACTCAGCCGCTGAACGCGCAAGAGGCACAATAGCGAAAGAATCTAATAAAAACTCATTTTGACATTGCTTGGCAATTACTTTATTTATTTATTTATTTTTCTTTCATTATTATTGCTTTTTTTTTTTTAGAATTTATTTATTGAAATGGATTATTGCTGCTTTTCGTACGGCAGTCATTATTGATGTTAATATAAGGGGTTAGTTTCATAAATGGTACTCAGAGGGTGTTTGGTAGAATGATTCGTTTTTTGATTTGAATCATGATTCATAGTTTGTTACAATATTTTCTCTCATAAAAAATTCACGTAAGTCGAAAATAGTTCAAATCATATGGTTTGAATCCTCCAACCAAACGTCCTTTTAATGTTTATCTTTAATTTTATTTTAGTTATTGATTTTTTGAACGTCATATAATTAATTTTTGAGGTTTATTTTGTTTAGATTTTAATTTTTTTATTAATTAAGTGTTAAAATTTAATAAAATTTATATAAATTAAAAATTAAAATTAGAAACAGTTAAGATTTTAAGACTATATGTTTTATTATTGATTTTTTAAAGTATAATTTTTTTTTTAAAATTCATTAAAAAATAACTTGAAAAATTCTACAATGAGGCACGCATGTTTTGCTCCATTGATAGCTAATTCTGTCAACCATTTGATTAAATTTTAACTTTTTATGATCTATAAGTGTTATCTTAAAAACTATATATATACGACACAAAATATTTTCACTCATAAATTTTATTGTTAAAATTCAATCGGGTGACTTAGAAAACCTTATCATTCCAAGAAGTCTAAAACAACATGTCATACCATCGATTTTGTTTTTTTTTTGTTTTTTTTAAGGAGAAGGAAGAAAATAGCAGTTTTAAGAGAGCTTATTAAAACTAATAACAAATATTTAAAAGATGTTTAAAAAATAACATATTAGCTTAAAAGCATTTTTACGATCATCAAAATACCAAAATGCCCTTTACAAACCCAGATTCATTCTCCTCACTCTTCTTGCTCACTTATTGTCAATTTCTCTCTCTTCGACCTCCCCTCCTTTCCTTCTCCAATGAACGCCGACTGTAATTCATAGTTACAACAACGACTTCATCCGGCAACGATGATGTCCTCCTTCTCATTTCTCTCTCTCTCTTTCTCCCCTTCTCTCTTCGAAATAAAGTCATTGCGGATTCGTCGTTTTCTTTGGCGATGGCGAACGCGCAAAGATTTGAGGTGCAACGGAGATATGCGAGTCAATCGGTGATGCTCTCGTGTGACCAGATTCGTCTACTTCATGCGAGGGCCTTGACTTTTGACGACTTCACGAGATTCAGCAACTTTGCAATGAGTTCTGCCAGCTGCATAACAATGGAGACAGAGATGGAGATTTGGAGAGTTGGTGTATAGATTTGGAAAGTCTGTGAGTCTCTTGGAGAGTATGTGAGTCTCTTGGAGAATCTTGTGACTTTGTAATAGAATATGTGATGTTATTAAATGCAAAATTTACATAGTAAATGCTTTATTTATCAACAAACAGATTATGTTCAGTTTGGTAAATACAAGATTTATGTGATAGGAAAACTGCTATGTTATTGATTACGTAAAAGTGTGGTATATATAATACCAATACAAGGATAGAAAAGTAAATAAACATAAAAGTAAATTAATATCCCTAATATGCCCCCTCAAGATGGTGTGCTAGAGGCAACACCAATCTTGTCACAAATGTCAAGTAGTCGAGGACGAGGCAAAGATTTCGTCAAGGCATCAGCTAGTTGATCGGCAGTAGACACATGAACAACTCGAAGAAGTGATGACTGCACTAGGTCACGAACAAAATGGTAGTCAATGGCTAGATGTTTCATCCGTGAGTGAAACACAGGATTAGCACAGAGATATGTAGCGCCAAGGTTGTCTGAGTAGATGGTAGGTATGGAAGTGACAGGGACAAGCAGTTCCTGAAGTAGCGTCTTGATCCATTGAATTTCAGCAGCAGCAGAAGCAATAACACGATATTCTGCTTCAGTGGATGAGTGAGCAACGGTGCGCTGTTTTGTGGACCGCCAAGATATGGGATTGGCACCCAAGAACATGACATACGCACCTGTAGAAGTGCGATCATCCGGATTTCCACCCCAATCGGCATATGAAAATCCATGAAGCGCCAAAGGAGATGTTGCCTATAGTCGAATGCCAAGAGATTTGGTGCCATTCAGATAACGAAGCAGACGCTTGACTGCTCCTCATTGATTTTCAGATGGCTGATGCATGAACTGAGAGAGTCTGTTAACAGCAAATGATATGTCAGGTCGAGTCATGCGCAGATGCTGCAGACCACCAACAACCTGACGGTATTTCGTAGCATCAACAGTAGGTGAACCATCATGTAGCAGTAGTGATGTACCAACAGCAAGCGGTGTGGAAACATGCTTAGACTCAATCATATTATGCTTCTGCAGAAGATCAACAATATATTTGTGCTGAGACAGAAGCATACCATCGTTGGTTGGAAGAACCTCGACACCACAAAAATAGGAGAGTAACCCAAGATCCTTAGTCGAAAACTTAGAATCAAGTTTCTGAATGATCTGAGCAATTGTCTGAGAATCACTACCAGTAATCAAAAGATCATCAACATACACCAGAAAATATACAAGGAGTGAGCCCTTGGACATAATAAAAAGTGATGTATCAGCACGAGAGGTGATAAAGCCAAGAGAATGAAGAAACATGTTCAACTCCTGGTACCATGCACGCGGAGCTTGCTTCAAGCCATAAAGAGCCTTCTTCAAACGACAGACATAATTGGGAAACTGAGGATCCCGCATGCCAGATGGTTTTGCCATGTATACCTTTTCAGTAAGATGCCCATTAAGAAAGGCATTATTAACATCAAGCTGTTGAACATACCACCTGTTATGTAGAGCAACACTCAAGACAGTACGAACGGTTACCAGGTTAACAACATGACTGAAAGTCTCATGAAAATCAACACCGGGACGCTGATGGAATCCTTTGGCAACTAGGCATGCCTTATCGCGGTCAATAGTGCCATCGGGTCGGCGTTTGATTCGAAACACCCACTTGTTACCAACAAGATTATAACACGGATCAGGCGGAACAAGATCCCACGTTTTGTTGCGTTGGAGAGCCGCATATTATGATTTTCGGGTCGTCGAGGCCGGGGTAGTGGCACGTCGTGGGATCCACAAGGGACGGGGCGGCACAGTGGGTGCGACCGGAGGTGCCGGAAGGTCACAGGAGGGCAACGACGGTCGCGGTAGCCAGGAAGACGCAGTGAAAGTCGAAGCCGAGTGGTTGTCAGATGCCGAGGAGGACCAAGAGAGAGGAAAACCATGTTCAACAAAGCGAACATGACGGGATATGACAAGCTTATGGGTGGAGAGATCATAGCAGATAAAGGCACTCTGTGATAGAGAATAGCCTAAGAAGACACATGCACTCGACCGAGGATCAAGTTTGTGAGTAATGTATGGGCGAAGCCAAGGAAAACAGAAACAACCAAAGACACGAAGATGTTTGGGATTAGGTCATTTGTTGAAAAGACACTCGAAGGAAGAGCGAGACTGAAGATTTTCTTTTGGCATACGATTAATGAGATAAACCGCTAGCAAACGAGAATGACCAGAACTTGGTTGGAAGAAAAGCATGATGAAGTAAGGAAAGACCAGTTTCGAGAATGTGTCGAAGTCGACGCTCAGAGTAACCATTGTGTTTCGGAGTGTGGGGTGGGGTAGTAAGATGAGTGATACCATTGGCAGAGAGGAACTGGCGTAGAGCAATGTACTCGCCACCATTGTCAGAATACAATGTTTTGATGGGACGATGAAAAAACTTTTCAACCAAGCTCTTGAAAGTAACAAAGATCGCATGGACATCAGATTTACGAAAAAGAGGATAAAACCAAATATATTTTGTATAGTGATAAACAAAAATGACATAATATTTGTAACCATCAAGAGAATGTACATGTGACGTCCAAACATCAGAGTATATTATTTCAAGGGGAGAAGAAGAGGAGACAGAGGATTACGAAAAAGGAAGCTTGTGACTTTTATTGATATGACACGAATTACAAGAAAATTTAAGTAATTTAGAATGCGAAAAAGAAACTCCTAGGGATAACAATTGGGTCCTAAAGACTTTAATAGAAGGATGTCCTAAACGACTATGCCATAAGGAAAGCAACGAAGACGACGAATGAAGTAAACTGAAAGCATGTACTCTTGGAAGGATTGGCGGCAAAGAAGAGAGATTTTTCGGCCATAAGTAGACACCATCCTTACGCTGTCCTGTGACCATAGTTGCCCTTGTGTGACGATCCTGCACCTAAAAATAATCATCAAAGAAAAGTACAGTTACCGCATTAGTAGCACAAAGAGCCGAAACCGATATCAAGTTCAAAGTCATGGATGGAACATGTAAAACATCTGTGAGAGAAAGAGAACCATGCAACGTGGAAAGAGACATGGATCCCATATTCTTAATGGAAAGATAAGTACCATCACCGATGACTACAGATTCCAAATCGTTCTAGGGCTGGTGGAGCGACAAATTAGCCAGATCGTTGGTGACATGGTGAGAAGCACTAGGAGCATGATAGTGGGTAGCATTATTGACACGCGGTGGTGCCGGGATGGTATCCCATGTATGCAATGGCATAAGGCGGCACTGACGAGCAGAATGACCGATGGCGCCACAGACTTGGCACTTTCCTTGATAGCCGCGACTAGAGGTGGGCGCCGGAGAAGGCAGACAGGGACTCCATGTTGGCACGGCAGAAGGAGGATACAATTGGGACTGTTGTTGAGGCCGGTTGGTGCGGTGATTGTGGTGAGGTCGGCCGCCCGAGTTGTTCTGCCGCGGAGTGGGGACGTCCGCGCGGGACTGTGCGGCAAAAGCAATTGCCGTTTGCGGCGGGGTTGGAGCAGTTGTGAGTTTTAGTTGGGCTTCCTCATGGAGTAGTTTTTCAAATAGTTCATCAAAATCAATTGGTGTTTTCCGCGCTTGAATGGCACTAGAGAGGTGCTTGTAGGAGTCATCTAGTCCATTCAGAATCCGAATGGATAATTCATCAAAATCAACTAGTTTATTCATGAAAGCAAGAGAATCAATACACGACTGAATGTCTTGCATATATTCGGTAATTGTGCGAGAACCCTTTACCGGAGTGGCAAGTTTGCGGCGTAATTCCATGATGTGACCACATGACAGGGAAACATATGTCTTCTCAAGTGTTTTCCACGCCTCAAAGGACGTTTTCTTGGAAGCAATAAAAGGAACAAGACTGGCAGTCAAAGACCCTATAATTGCGTTGAGCAGTAATTTATCCTGGCGAATCCAGAAGAGATAAGCCGGATTGGGAACCTCAGTATCAGAGTCAGGTGCTTTGATCTTACCGGGTGGACACGGAAGAGAGCCATCAACATAACCATATAGGTCATACCCGATCAAGAGGGAATCAAATTGTGCACGCCATGCACAGTAATTTGTAGCAGTTAATTTGAGGGGAACTTGTGCCGCAACATTGATAGCAATTAAATTGGTGGTGGCATCTGTGGTGGTGGAAAGAATTGGGCGAGAAGAGATGGCAGAGGGAGAGGGGAGGGTGGAATTTTGGGAGTGAGGGAGTGTGGTGGGGTCGGCCATGGTGGGGAGAAGTGGCGGCTGGGGATGCACCGGTGAGGAGGAGCGGCGATGAGCAGTTGGCAGTGTGGGCCGACTCGCGGCAGTTGGTGGTGGGAGAAAATTTCTAGGGTTTTCAGAAGCTTAGGCTCGTGGTACCATGATAGGAAAACTGCTATGTTATTGATTACATAAAAGTGTGGTATATATAATACCAATACAAGGATAGAAAAGTAAATAAACATAAAAGCAAATTAATATCCGTAATATTACATAGTAGTAAATGATGGATTTACTAGTTAAACACTAGTTAAACAGTGTTTTGATGTTGTAAACATGTTTGCTGCTTTATTTTCTGACTTTGTAATATAATATGTGGTGTTAGTAAATATAAAATTTTCATGGTACATACTTTATTTACCAACATACAGATTATGTTCAATTTGGTAAATGGAGCATTTACATAGTAAATAATATATTTAATAGTAAAACCTATGCTTGGATGTTGTAAACAATAAGTTTATTATTATTATTTTTTACAATAGACTTTGTTTTGCTCGAAAATAAAGCATTTACCACGTAAATTCTCCGACTATAATAGAATCTGTTTTATTGGTAAATAGATCATTTATAATGTAAATTCTCTATTTACCAAATAAAGTTGAATTATGAAAATTCACAGAAATTAGCAAAATAGCGGATTTTAAATTGGGAATAAAAATTGACAACAAATTTTTTAGGGATGAAAAATAATAGAAGATTTAAACATCATACTTTCAAAAATTTGAAAATAATGTTGTCTCAACTGTTCGACCTCATCTCCTTGGCTCCCTCAACTGTTGGTGCTCTAGCCGCCTATCTCCAGTGAGAAAAAATTTGACATATTGAACATCTTCAACACCAACGGACGAGACATGGCTCACAATTAAGCGAGTCGAGAGAGGGAATCAAGAAAAAAAAAAAGAGAGACGTGAGAAAGTGTGTGTGCAAGGAGAGAGAGAGAGAGATTGAGAAAGAGAGGGAAAGAAGAGAGAGAGCCGAGAAAGAGAGGGAGAGAGAGAACCGAGAAAAAGATAGGGGAGAGAAATTGTGTTATGTGAGAGAAATTTTGAGGATTTAGAAATTTTTGGTTTTGCAATAATTTTTACCGTTTATTAAAAATAAGGGTAAAATAGGAAAATCAAATTCGAGTTTTAAAGAATTTGTATTTATTACATAGCTAATGTAATTATGTTACTTAGTACTTTAAGTTTAGAAAATTTGTTATATACTACCATTTCTCTTAAAGTAATATACATATGTACCCTTTAACAAATTTATCTCTTCAAATTTGAAAGTCTATCATATATACTTACATTTTCTTTTTTTATAAACAATGCATGTTCACCAAAAAGACCAAAACATGCTTAAAGAAAAATTGGGGAACAATTAGAAATTGAAAAATAAAAATAAATAAAATTAAAATTGTAGCATTATCATGGCCAGTTACCCCAAGTTGTGACGTTATTAGATCTACTGGCACTTGCTGTTGAGTCCGTAACAGAACTAAAAATATTAAGAAAATTGCTGAACTTACCCTTAGACTGCATGAGTTTAGAGTGTTACCCTTTACTCTTGAATAATACTCTTTTGACTAATATAGTTATTGGACTAAAAAGATATTAATTAAGAGTAAGGAATAAAATCTAAATTCATACACTCTAAAGGGTAATTCGGTAATTAAAACTTAACACATGGATTATGCACGTGAAGTTCAATTAGTTATTTTTTCTAAAATTTTAATTTTTTGAGCACATAAAAATATAAATGACACCTTGCTATGCAACTTGACGAGAAAAATGTATCAATTTAAGAATAGAATAAGTTATTGTGAGAAAACTCATTGGTGAATTTTTTTTTTAATTCAAATTCTTTGTCAGAAAAAAAATACTGTAATAGAATCAAAATTATAGTTTTAAACATGTGAACTAAACGGGCCCTAAATATTTATCGTTTTAACTATATAAAGGTCTCATCGTTCTTTTAGAATGTTGTAGTCTGCAACTCCCACAATCCATTTCTGGAACGTCGTCCTTTTGCCTAAAAAGCGACAGTCATATGCTCATTCAAGGTTCTGTCATTTGATTATTATTTATTAGTAAAATTTTATTTTGGTACATTGTGTTATATCAAAATCTAATATTAGTACCCTGTGTTTTTTATAATTTCATGCAAGTACCACGTCATTTTAAAAAATAATATTTTGATACCCTGATTAATTTTTTGAGACATGAAATGTTATTTATACCCTTTACTTAATTTATTTAATTTTTTACAAAGAACATATTAAAAATATTTCAAAAAACCATAAAATTAAAAAAATTAAAAAATCTCACTTTTTAATTTATTTAAAGCATTTTAAAAAAAACTTGGACTCTAATTACTTAATGATAAGAGTATGTTTGACATTTCACATCCTAAAAAATTATCTCAGGGTACTATAAAAATATTTTCTAAAATGTCAAGGTACCTTTATAAAATTACAAAAATACAGGGTCGTTATGATACGGGGCACCAAAATAAAATTTTCTCTTATTTATTATAATAGTTATATTTTGTGAATAACTTACTAAAAAAAACTGGATAGGATCGTAGGAAGATTTATCCTCTAGATCTGAATGCGAGAAAGAAACCAGTCTATAACTTTAATTGTGGACAATTGTGATCTAACAATCACAATACATACATGTGATTGTTTGTAGTTAATTAAAGAACAAAGGTAAATCAAGCCTCTATAATTTTCTCAATCGAACTCTAAAATGTGTTATAATGATGTACTATCGAAAAATGTAACAGTTTCGCTATAGTTTATGATATTTGTTGAGGAAAATTCCTTGATTAATAGTATATTTCATAACAATTCGTCAACAAATTAAAAACTCTAACCCTTTTGAATGGAAAAAGGAAAGGGCCCCCCAAGTACAGCAATACACAAAACGATCGAAATGATGAGGAGAGTCTCACGTTATAATTTGTGATTGGAGTATGTAAATAAGGAAACTGATCGATTACATAAATCATTATACTGTGTCGTATTAGAGTAAATTAATGAGGAGATTTACAATAAGATTAGTCTATGTTAGAGACAACCATGTCCTCCACATAAGAAGCTTCTAGAATATAATCCTGCCTAAACATTGGAAGATCCATGGTCCTCCTTGCGATAGACTTGTACTCTTCTAGAGTTCTAGTACTTACTGCGTCAAAGCGTGTTGTTTCCTGCAAAAATAATGCATACGTTTTTTTATGCGAGCGGTTTTTCAACATTAATTCCCGAAAACTCATAAGAGATATTTGGATGAAAATTTAATAGTATGCCTTTTTTTTCCTTTTGATAAATGCCCAAATTTTGGTTGTGGCAATAGAATGATTATGATACTGCAGAATAACAAAAAGCATTTACATTTTTCTTTTCTAACTTAATTAAATAATGGACAAAATCAATTTAGCAAAACTGCTCCGAGTATGAGACAAGCAAATAAATAATACTATCATGTTTAGGGACCCTGTTGTATGTATTTCAGAGGGGGCACACATGCTGTGCAGGAATTTAATTTTTTTTTCCTGTATGTAAAATTTCAGTTGTATATATATATATATAATTGTATGCCCATTTAATAATAAACAGTTACAATTATGTCCCATTTCATTAAAAAGATTATGTTTTATATTTTTTCTTATTGTGTCCTTACTAGAAAAAATCTACATCTGCCATTGAATATTGATCATGTCCTCTAAAGAGTCTAAATATCCATTATAATTCTTTCTATTACAAATTCAAATTTGTCATTACCTTGCTAACCATACTCTTTGTGTAGCCAAGAAGCTCAAGCTTCATCTGCTGATTGGACATGCGCACATTTGCTCCATCAACTATGTAAATTTTCTATATAAAAAAAAAAAAAAACAGAACAAAATTGTCCATCAGAATATTTTTAGTCGACTAAGCAAGCAAATACAGAAATAATTAGATTTAATACATTGTAAAGAAAATAAAATCAGAATCATTATTATAACAATTTTCATAAGCTCCATGTATAATTAATATGAGGAGAAAAACAAAGGTGAATAAAATTAGATAATCGAATTATTGAGGGTTCCGGACATACAATTAATTTCTGATGATCATTACAGGAACATTGATCCCTTCCAATACAAACCACGACCTTGAAGGTCCTATTGGTCATTTCAACTTCAGCACAACCAAAGAAAACTCCGAAAACTTGGTCAGGAAGCGCAGATTCTCCATCCTCTGGATTTCCACGTTAAATTATTTGTTATTAACATGAAAAGCATGTCAACAAAACCGAAAGCCAGAAACACGGAAAAAAGAAAAAGAAAAAAAAAACCACATCATTTGTGGCTTAATTATCATAAGCATTTCTTGTTCATGCTTATGTAGAATATACTTAATAATGTATATAAACTCATATATATTATATAAATACAATATATATAGGTAAAGTCTCAATTAGTTCGACGGTTGTACAGTCTGATAAATGTAACTTTATTCGTATGTATGTGTAACATTATTTATTCTTTACGTGTAATTTTTTCCCTATGTCTGTGTAACAATCAATAATACACGTGTTGGACTATGTCTATAGAATGTTATACTAAATCAAACTGAGTGTTATATATACATACAAACGATGATACAGGGATATATATATATATATATATATATAAAAGCTACACATGCCTGAATAGTCTGGGTTTGGACTTCAAGTATCTCTATCTATGTATATTATTTAATAAGAGAATATTTTGTGTAGTTACCTTTATTAGGAGTTTATATTTATTTGTATTGATTTCTAAATTGAGAAACTCTCTTGATATTAGGAGATTTAACAATATATAAAATATTAAATTTCTAAAATAAAGTGGAACCTAAATTGATAGAATGTGATACACAAACTATGGTATAAACTTAGGATTGAAAAAAAAAAAGAACGTAAGAAACCTGTAACTTCATGAAGAAACCCATTGAGATATAGACCACTCAGATATATTGGTTCAATTGGCAATGCATTATCTATCCCTGCAGTGACCATTTTGATCAGGAAATTACATATATATAAAAGCCTGCAGAAAAACAAAATAGAAATGCATAAAATATGACTAGTAAGAGATATTACAGTCTTCAAATGGAGGAAGACCCCAAAGCTCAGGCTGAAATTCCAGAAGAGAATGAAGCACAGTATTCGCTAGGGAAGAACAGCCAGCTTCACTGCGGGGCGGAACCGCCACTACTTCCATTTTTGCAGCATTTGCAGCTTTAACACCAATCCTTTTGGAAAAAAAAAAAAATGTACATGATATAGATTGGCTTATGGTATTATATATGTCAAACAATATTTCTTAGTTACTTAGTCTTGTACACTTGGTGCTGCCACAATAGACCAGTGGCATGTAATCTAAGTGTCCATATATATCATAGGCATAAACAAAATAATTAAGGACTATTTTGACAACCTTTGAAATATTCTTAATCAAGCTTTGATGATTTCATCTTTTTTTTTTTTTAATTTGTTGGGAAAATTCTATTCTTGCCCTATGAATTATGTTTATTTTTAGTTATGGAACTATCCAAAGCAGCTGTTTTTATTTATGCCGCCCTTATTCCTATCAGTGAAGATAAAACATCCCAAACCTAGTGGTATGCAATTACTTGTGATCTACGTAATCAGGAAAGTTAATCTTACAATGAGTCTTCAACCACCAGGCAGTGAGCCGCGTCCACACCCATTCTCTTCGCTGCCTCTTCAAATCTGTGAAAAATTAGGAACTGTCACTGATACAAAATTGAGATTAGAAGACGCTGATTTTACGATGTTTTTTTCGGGAAAACATCCTCTAATATGCTAAAAAAAGGAGACGGTCTAATGTCCACAAAAAAAAGGCAGGACGAACATTTAGTCATGTTTTAAAAATTTTTATATTGGGTTAAAACAAATTGTTTTAATTTATTTTTGAGACATCGAATGACAGTTCTTAAACCATTGTCAAAGTACTTTTAACAACAATTATTGAACATCGTTCTATCTACCTTTTCTATTGGTGCTTGAATATGTATAAGAAAGGGAAAATTAAAGAAAGTGTATCAAAATTTTCTGTTTTCCAAGAAATTAAGTTCATTGGTAAAAACAGAAATGGCATCATCGTTAATGTTTCCAAATGCGTCAAAGGAAGAATTCAGTTTTAACTACTTTTCAACTGAAAGGAAAATTTTCTGTCAAGTTTTTCGGATACTGGTTTGATTAGGCCTTTAAATTCAATCCTACTGAACAGGTTAAGGAATTGGGAATTTGGAAAAGTTCCATTTACATGCCATATTCATGGCATCCACACATTCTCAAAATAGGAATAATCATTATTAATGTTATAGAAGGCCCTTACAGATCGCTTGAGGGCTTCCCTTCTTTAACCTGGTCACTGCCAAGAATTACTGAAAAGCGTTCCTTCCAACCTGCACAAAATCATAAAGGAAAACAAGAGAAGAAAAAAAGTAATTAGATTGAGCGACAAGACGAGAAATAAGCAGAGAAGTTTGTATTATATATATCGTGAGTTAAGGACTTAACGCAACAGTTACAAATTCGCTGCAAGAAACCAGCACAAATTCTTCAAAATCCAATAAATGTGAGGACTATGAAAACAAAAAAGAACAAAAAACAGAACAAATGAATGAATGAAAAAAAGAAAAAATTAATACCTTCTTCCCCTATTAGCAGAAAGGACGGATATCAAAACATAAACCGTATTTTTATAGTATATTTTTGTTGGAGGTAATGTAGTCAATAATGTGAAGAAAGGACAAATTTTGTAAAGGGTAAAAATAAATTCGACTATTCGAGCTAGTCTTACATTATCTAAATATAAAAGTAATCATAGACTTATAAGATATTGGACCATCTCATTTAAGATGAAACTCGGTTTGATTCTCACGAACCTTCTTGGTAGGAGATTTTTAAGTCTATGCACTCTCGTGAGGAGTTTGAAGCGAGAGCAAACGGAACTCCGTGATCATGGAGATGCTTCATCAGACGATTAGCACCAGGAAGTGGTTTAGCATACATCCACCTATGATCATTCACATAGTTTTAGTATACATGATGGAATCCCTTACTCAAGCATGCATGAAAAAAATAATTAATTACCAATATGTAAAGATATGAATTTTAGAGAGAGTTAATTACGTACTTTTCTTGGTACATGGGGATTATCTCTTTGATGTACTGATCAGGTGTTAATGGGAGATCATAGTCCTTAACAATGTCGGCTGAGGACTCTTTCAGCGTCTTCCCCAACGTCTTATTCTTTTCTTTCTCCTTGTCCAAAACCTTCCCATACTTGGCCAAAAACTCTTTCAAAACACCCCTTGTTGCTCTCTCTGCCCAATCACACAATTAACTTTGAGAGACGGAGAGAGAGAGAGGAAAACCTAGCTTTTTCGCATGAACGAAAGTAAATGTGATACAGAAGAAAACTACACTAGTTACATAATCTATATACATATATGTGTGTGTATATATGTATGTATGTATGTATCATATATGTACCTGTGTCTAGAAGGGTTCCATCCAAATCAAAAATTACAGCCAAGATTTTGGGTTTTGAGCGCATAGTCATGGTGGAAACCAAAAGGATGTCCTTAGTTGTGTCTAAGAAAGAAAGTGACAGAGACAAACGTAGAAGGAAACATAAAACACGTTAAGAAAACCAAGGATATATGTAGCTTTATTAAGTTTGAATGAAATATATATAGAGAAGGACGCCCTACAGTCTATATGTTTGGTTGTTACTGTTAGGTTATATAAAGAAGCCTTCAGAGTTGAACTTAAAGTTAAACGAATCCTTGTCCTTGTAGAATTCTATAGACAAAGATAATGCCATAGTTAATAAAAGTACTAAATAACTTTCTGATACCTAAATAAAAAATTAGTAACTTTCTGATGAAACTCAGCGCTAAAAAACAAATGATCATATCAATGGCAATGGCATTGTTCAGAGGATAACACCCAAAACACACCTCTGTTTTGCCTAAATATCCTTTTTGTTATGCAAATATCCAGAACACTCTATGTATTTATAAAATCAGCCTCAAAGTCTCCTGAAGCAATTAATTTTTTTAAAATACTAAGATTATCATTCCCAATTAATGTTTATTATTTACAATTTAACACATTACGAAACTGAAGTATTAAATAAAATCAATCTTACTAAATGGAAAACTTTCAAAATAATTTAAGTATTTATTTGATTGGAATATTTATTTTCCATTTTGAAAATTTTTAGTTAAATCATATCTAAAATAACATTTAATATCAATTAGGAAATACAATTTCGGTATTGTCAAAAATTTAATTGCATATGATTTAATAAACGCAGGGGTGTTGATAGCGTAAAGGAAATTAGTTGCACATTGGTATCAGAATTAGAGATATGCCATTTCCATTTGGGAGTGAAAGAGACAGATACAGATTTATTGCTTCCCTTTACAGAAGCACTTTTGCCACGAGAATGGTGAGAGAAAGATATTCGAGGAATTTTCTATTTTTCTTGATTTTCTTTACGCAAGATTGTTTCCTAGCAATTTTCTTAGATCATTTTTTTTTTTGGTCGTGCACAACAAAGTTACCCTTTGACGCAAAAGGTCACGAGTGGAATCACTTTTTTCAATTGGTTAAAGATGTATCTTTTCATCTTTGTAATGTGACACGTGATTAATGAATTTCTACTACTTTATTAGGTTTCTAACTGGAGCAATCTTGGCAGAGTACAATGTGTAGGACTCAAAATGAAAATTAGTTAATCCTTAAAAAAAGAAAGAAAGAAGATTTATGTTTTTTTATACTGCCTACTGCGCTTAGTCCATAGTAGTTCCAAGAATGATATGTAGACTAAAGGCACCGGCTCTCGGTCATTAGATGCTGACCATCAATGGATTCTATAACTTCAAAGAGCCTAGGAACGCTTCAATATTCAACTGTTACCATTTTCCTTCCATATCTACCCAAGCAAAACGAGAAGGCTTCTTGTTATAGAGCAGATTAAGTTGGTAATGCCCACTCAAAAGGAAAAAAAAAAAAATAACACTCAAGATGAAGGCATGTATATATTCTAATGATCCAAGTCAGAGCTTTTGTACACTTTTCCTGGGAATATATTAGGCTTCACATTCCATCAAGTAGTCCATTGCAGAACAAGTGCTGCCAACTTTTTCATTCATTCCAGTCAGTGGTCTCGTCAAGCCCACTTTCATCAACTGTGCTTACACAACACAAGCATTTTCATAATATTCTTGTACTTATCCTGGGAATGAGCATATACACAACACAAGCAAGACGCTAAATAATATTCTTGTACTTATCCTTCGCAGACTACACTGCAATACTAAAATTAGAGTTTAGGGTTGACTTTCTATGTCCGTATTCAAAGAGTGGGAGTGACAACAGAGTAACAAAAGCGCGATACAGTAACTCATTTGATTTATCTTTGAATGTGTTCAGTCATTTATCAGGCAATCGGTTATCTATCATAAGTCTTGGCTCTCGCCATTCATAATATGATAGGTATTCAGTACAAACATTCTTGGGAAGCAAGATTTAACTTTGTTCAAATGAAAAGGAGAGAGAAGCGAGCACGATTCGATCTAAAAAGAAATGTAAACATGCATCATACTGATTCTAGTGGTGAGCCAAATAATATAAGCCTTCGTCTAGTCTACGGCATTTTCATAAAAACAAGAAAATCACCCTGAGCAATTGGGTCAATCTTCTACACTCCATCCAACAGGAACAAGGAAAAGCGAGGGGGAATGCAGATCAAACCAACCAAGTGTACATATGAAGCTATTTATAAACCACACATAATATAGGACCCCAAGAAGAAAACGAAAAATCAGAAAACAATGATCTAGAATAGCTAAACACCAAGGGTGAGAAGCAGTACTCTTCTGTCCATCATAGATATAGCAAGCCAGTCAACAGATGCTATCACTGCAAAACATAATTAAATGCATGATCCAAGCAATCAAACACCAGAAAATTGGTGAAATCATATAATACCATATATATACTATTATATATATATATGAAATGTACTAACCTCAGCATCCTCCCCAGCAGCCTTCGATGTGCCATTAATCTTTTGGACATCTTCTACAGTAAAAAGACAACAAAGATAGGTCAACTTGAAGCGAGTAATATATACTTGCAAAGTAATATATGTCGAAGTTTCAAAAATATCAGATCAAACAAATTCAAAGTACTTTTGTGCTCAGAAGGAAAATTATACACGCTTGTAACCTTTTTATTCACATAGCATTTCCTACTAGCATAAATCTCTCAACGAGGTTGACAGTTTCAGCATAAGAGCAGCCCACATGGTGTCGTACTAGTTCAGAACAGCACAGGTATACATACTGGCTACAATTGCTCAAAGATATTCAAAGAATTAACTAAACATATTGATTACCCGCATCCTCTGGGATGTCAGAAGTCCACAAGGTGAGGTTGTCCCTAAGAAGCTGCATAATTAATGTACTATCTTTGTAGGATTCCTCGTTCAGTGTGTCAAGTTCTGAGATTGCTTCATCAAAAGCTTGTTTTGCAAGATGACAGGCCCTGTACAATAGCATGCACATCATGCAGGATATACTAAAATACGCCAAATACTAGTCAACCTGAATATAGTATACTACGAACCGCTCAGGTGAATTCAGGATCTCATAGTAGAAGACTGAGAAGTTCAAAGCCAAACCCAACCGAATGGGATGAGTAGGAGGCAATTCAGCCTCTGCAGTAGTTGTAGCAGTCTGCATGCAGATAGCATCAAATAAATTTAGAGGGAGAGACAAAGAGAGTGAAGAGGATGCAACATATTTAGAATAGTATTTGAGCAATAATAGTGAAGAAAGAATTAATGGCCCGCTACATAATGAAAGTTTCTGGAAAACCACAATCCAGATGAAATTAACTAGGAGTCTAGGAGAAGACCTAATTTTCTTAAAAAGTGTACATCAAGTTACCAATTAATAGGAGAAGAATTCACTTAAAAAAACAACAACCATTGCCGAACACTAGTACGAGATCAGAGGATAATCATAAGTATCTCAAACGCAAGAATAAAATTGCTGAATAAAGTTCTTTTTCACAAAAAACAATCGAGCTTAAACAAACCTCAAGGCTGAAGCTCAAACAAGAGACAAACTTTATTTCTTCTCTCTAATCAAGAGAAGAAAAAGAATGAACTTCAATGAAATTCATTTCTTATGAATAAAAAAGGTGAAACAGAAGAACCTCATATGCTTTCCTGGATTGCTCAGCAGCCTCTTTTTTTTCGTCGCCAAACTTGAACTCTGCAAGATAACGATAATAATCACCTTTCCTGCAACCAAAAATAGTTTTCCATCAACAACATTTCAACACGCTAAGATCCTTATGTCAAGAACGAAAATATGTATAAAATCAGTTTTATTCACTACAAAACATATCCTACATCTTGTAATAGAAGACCGTTGATTCACCGGCCGTAGCTGATGGAATGAGATGCTCATCAATCACATTCATGATATCACTACAAATGCTCGACAGCTCTGATTCAACCTTCTGCCGATACTCCTTTATCCGCTTTGCGTGTACCTCATTTCCTTTTGCTTCTTCTTTTTGCTCTATTGATGATAGGATCCTCCATGATGCTCTTCTAGAACCAACAACATTCTTGTATCCAACAGAAAGCAAGTTACGTTCTTCAACTGTCAATTCAAGATCGAGCTTTGCAACCTTCTTCATTGCATCCACCATCTCTGTCAAAATTAGCACCCAAAAAAATAATTAAAAAAAAACAATTAAGCTTCTCATGGGTAAACAGGAAAGAAAAGTGTCAATCAGCTTACGGAATTGAAGAACCGAGCTTGTGTATAAAGACCCTAGACCTATATTTTTCAGCACAATATTCATTTTAAGTTTTTTAGATTTATAAAAAAGGGGCAGATTACTAGAAGCAAATCCAGGATAAAGACACCTTTAAAAGGTTCAATAACTTATATTTGTAAGAGAACTTTTCAAAGTAAAATCAGTCAAACAAGCATGATCATGTTCACAATAAAATGGAATCGTTTATCCCAATCTTTTTTCTCCTTAGAATAGAAAAATTCAGAGAATCTATTTCAAAAAAGCACATAAAAGTGCTAAAAACACACAATTCCACGCAAAATCATATGTCAGTAATATTGAGACTGCAAAAGAACTATTCAACAGAAAATTTCTTCGCCACAAATCCCATGATAAAAACACCTGATCCTCAGTTCAGGTAAATCGAATTAACCATATTCGATCTTCTGATTTTTTTTCCCTTCCATTTCTCAACAATTAGTCAACAATTCACTAAATTAAGTGAAGGAAAACCAAAATTCAACTTCATATTGAAGATCAAACAGACATCTATTATTCAATAAAGCAGAAAATCAATTCCAATAAATCACAACTATTATAAATAGCAAAATATATGCCAAAAGGAATAAGAAAAAAAAAAAAAAAAAAAAACCTAACCATCGTAACGTTCAGCCTGCTCAGCGAGCTTTGCAACGTAGACGAAGCTCTCACGGTCTTTTGCCATGGCCGATCTTAGAGAGAGAAAGAGAGAGAAATTAGGGTTTTCTTTGGGAGGAAGAAGAAGAGTGGTGTTGTATTTTCTCTCTCTAAAAACAAAAAGCTTTTGGTTGGGCAAATCGTCCCTTTTTCTGGTCCAACAGTCGCAGATGTTAATTTCCGAAAATATCAAAAATCCTCTCTGCGATGACTTTTTAATTAACTTGCGTATTTACTCAAAAAATAATTAAATGAATTTTTTAAAATAAATTATTATTCTTCGTCAGAGGATTTACGTAAGGTACGGCTGAGCTGAGGATATGGTCTGAATTTAGCCTGTGGTTAATTTGCCACGTCACGTTTTCCAATTCAGGTCAAACACGTCATTTGAAGAAGTCAAAACCTAGGAATGTTGAGACTAATAGAAATGTGACACGTAATTTTAGTCAGGCTAAGGAACCGTACTTTGTTTTTTCTGTCGATCTCTTTCGTTATGAGGAATATCGTGAATTAGTGACGAGTTGTATTCGTGTTAAAACGTCAAGTGTGGGCCATACGCGGCATCTTCAACAACATATGGGCCGTTGAATGCTCAATTATGTGGACGGACCAAGTTGTTTGTTGGAGTGGAATGATTAGCAAAATATATATGGACGTGGCAGCTAAAAGTTATCATGTATGTATGGTTTGTGGGTTTAGTTCATGTATTAAAATTATTAGATTAGAATTATTTTTAATTTATGTGTAATTTTTATGAGAAAAAATACTATAATAAATTATAAATCATTATTTAAATTAGAGAACGAATTCTCCAACCAAATGGGTATCTTACCTCTTTTTTATTATTATTCGAATTAGAGAACGAATTCTCCAACCAAATGGGTATCTTACCTCTTTTTTATTTTTATTTTATTTTGCTAATCAAAATAGTGTTACCTCTTGAACACCCTCACAGTGGATCTTGTAATAATTATTTTATGCGGACTAACATAATTATCTACACTTACATATTAATGTCAAATAAAACATTTTACTGCAATTAGCATTTTCGATTGTTTACAGTTTTAAACTTATATATTAATGTCAAATAAAACATTTTACTGCAATTAAAATTTTAGATTGTTTACAGTTTTGAACTTATATATTAATGTCAAATAAAACATTTTATTGCAATTAATATTTTAGATTGTTTACAGTTAAAATTTGTCAAATAAGGAATTCTCTCACTATCACCTCACCATGTATTAACTCATAGATGTTGCTAATGAATAATAAAAGGAAAAGTAAAAGAAAGAAAAGAACACAAAAATTATAGAGCTCATTTTGTAAGGAGATTCAAACCTAGGTGGTTTGAACCATGCAGCCACGGATCCAATTAAGGAGCATGCTTCCAAACTTATGGTACTTTTCGACATGTGTTCCTATTCAATTGGTTATTCTTTTACTTATTATTATTATTATTATTATTATTATTATTATTATTATTTCCAGTTGAATACTTGGACGTTTGGTTCATGGATTGAGAATCATGATTCAGAATCATTCTCATTTTACGTGTATTTTTTGTAAGAAAAAAACACTGTAGAGAACTATGAATCATGATTCAGGATCAGAGACGAATACAATAAACAAATTTCTTTTATCTATGTTGCCGTCTCATATACTACTTGAAATTTTTTTTTTTATCATTTTCAAAGTAAAATAATAATATCACCGTTTCTTGTTATTGCTGATTACGGTTTTTTTATGTATTCTTTCTCCTTATTTTTCTTATTTCTTTTATTTCCTTTAACAATTACAACTTCTTGTGTCAGTCACTTTATCTATTATGCATATGTAATGTTAAAAATGAAAACTCGACGTTTGGTAAGGGGATTTGTATTCTGATTTAAATCATGATTCATGGTTCGCTACAGTGTTTTCTCTCACAAAAAATACACGTAAATCAAAAATGATTATAATCTTATTATTCTAATCCATAAACCAAACGTTTAGAAATTCATGATGTATTCTCTCTCTTCTCTATTTATTAATTTCACAATTACAACACCTTCACACTAAGTTAGAAAAGAAAACTAAAATAATAAAATCTAACCCTTCAAAAAAAAAAAACGAACGAATTAATGTTAGTACTCATTTCATATAAATTTCAGGCATGTTCTTTTTATAACTCAAGTTAAGAAGTTGAGTTGTAAAGTGAGTATTATGTGAAAGAAGACAATACTATAGCAAAAAACTTAAAATTTAAACTTTTATGAGAGAAAATATTGTAACAAAAAAGTTGGGGGTGTGATTTGAATTATGAAAAGAAGATGTCTTTTATTTGTGTCCCCAATTAAATCAAACCATGGATTCGTCACTGGAACCATGTATGAGGTTCTGTGCGGCATGAACCTGTTGTTTGAATCTTTATTTGTATGTGGTAAAAAAAAAGGGTTGGAACCATATAGGTTCAAATAGGCAAAACCTGAGTGGGAGGTGGGTTCTCATTTTTGGGTGTCTCATTAGGATTTCAACCCAAATCTATTTTTTGGAGTCTCAAACGAAAGTTCTATTGAATCCGTGTGGGTTCAAATTCGCAGCTTTCCCTTATTAAACGAGTCCATAGTGGTTCACTTTAATTGAAGACTATGTCCACTTTTGGTTTTCTTTGAGAGATGGAAGATTTTACTGTTATAGAAAGAGAATTACAAAAATACTCGAGTCGAGGGGGGTTCAAATGTCTCATTAGGATTTCAACCCAAATCTACTTTTTGGAGTCTCGAACGAAAGTTCTATTGAATCCGTGTGGGTTCAAATTCGCAGCTTTCCCTTATTAAACGAGTCCATAGTGGTTCACTTTAATTGAAGGCTATGTCCACTTTTGGTTTTCTTTGAGAAGAGATGGAAGATTTTACTGTTATAGAAAGAGAATTACAAAAATACTCGAGAGCTAATGCCAAGAGACTAGGCTTAGGGTTTCCACATAGGTAATTATCTCATACTTCCTCTAAGAGATTATGTCGAACCCTAGGTGGTTATTTATAGGCGGATTCCTCGGTTATTTGAGCAGGACGAAAGATCTTTATTCGATGCTTCTATCAAAGGATAAGAGAGGTTGCATTTGAACACTGTTTTCACTTTTGAATTTACCTCTGTCCTTATCGCCTTGCTTTGTCAATTCACATTAAATTATGTAAGCCGACCTGATTAATAACTGAATATGTATCTCCTGCGGTTTTCAGCATTATAACCGATGTATTAAGCTCAGTGAGCTGTCAACATAGGCCATATTGGTCATGTATGTGGTATTGTTTGGGCTATAATGAGATGAACTTATTTATTTTATTGTGTGAGACCCGTAAGTTTACCTTGCTTAAAACGTTTCAGTCAGTCTATAGACTGATTAATTCTCTGCTATCGTGGGCTTGACCGTATAGGCTCAGCATATTTTTTTGGTGTCCTATAAATACATCACCGTTTGATAGACAATGTGCTCTAAGGTATGGATTTGTGCTTGTTCAAGTGTGGATAATGCGCATATTTTTTTGGTTTCCTATAAATACATCAACTTATAGTTTTATTTCATATTGCTAATTGACTTGTAGATATGATTCTTATCTACACAGTTCATGCGATCATAACAGTAATTTTAAACACCAACAGAGACATGATTTTCGTATTAGTTTACTCATGCTACAACTAGAAGATAGATTGATGGTCTTGGGAGTATTTCATGGTGATGATATTGAGCATCCTGATTATTATTCGTTTAGTATTGTTATAATTTTTTAATAGACCTGTCCGTGAATTTTATGCATTTTGTTTTTGCATGTTTTATTCAAAAAACATTAAAAATAGTGTCATTCACATATATTATGTTATTAACAATGGATAATATAGAAAGAAATTTCACTAGCTTTTATCTGCTGTTGCAAAGTTTCTCTTTCCTTTTTTCTTTCTTTTTTTTTCTCTTTATACCAATCTTTTCCATCTCAAACTCACGGTCTTCTTCCTTCTAGGTGTTTTTCTTTTATTTTCATCTATTTACTAATTTGATTTGTATGTTGTAAGAAAAGTTACCACAAGAACAAAAAACGACTTTAATGACAGTTAAAAATCATCGTTAAGGAATATGATGACAGTTAGACAAACTGTCGTCATATTAAGAATCGTTAAATCTAACTGTCGTAAAAAATTCACGTTAGACGACGATTTCTAGAAATAACTGTCGTCTAGAATGATATCTAGGCTTGATATGGTGCCTTCAAGTCTGGCATTAGACGACGATTTTTCCTTTAATCATCGTCTAACGTCTTTTTTTACAACTTTTTATTTTTACTTCCATCTTTTTCATAATTAACATCAACGTTTTTTTTTTTTCAATTCCCTAACCGCTGATGATGAACTTGAAACATCTTCACCACGTCATATCCGATAAGTCTGATTATTACCATATTGTGGAACAAATAGTCTAAGATCATCTATTGATTTTTTTTTTGGTAATATTTCCACATTGTACACACGGACAATGAATCATGTTCTCTTTCATTGTATTCTTTGTAAAGTACATAAATTCTTCAACCCCTTTCTCATACTCACTCATCCTATTTTTTTATTTTGTCAATAAAAAAAACTATTTCTTATCCATTCCTAAAAAAAAAAAAAAAAAGTCAAAACAGAACACCCACAAATTTTAATTATGATTATCACAATAAATTTACAAATTCAAAATTAAACAACTAATATTAACAATAAATTTCTATTTGACTAACAACTATAAAAAAAATCAAAACAATTTCAAAACAAATTATATCTCACTCAATTTCTATTCACATAGAACAAAACACACACTATCATACACAATTACATCACCAGATTTCTAATTATTCTAATTATAATAATTTAACTGGACAAAGATGTGGCAATTCAAGATTAATAATAAATTTCATAGTAAGTAATTACTAATTATAATAATATCGCTGGCAATATTATTGCGCAACCATCACATATTCCACAATAATCTAAAGGTGTATCAATATATGTTGATCGCCTTAATAGTGCAGATCGTCTCTCCTTTTTTTTTTTTTTAATTCCTTTTTATTGACCGACACAAACTTAGAAATTATACTATATCTCCAAAAAGTATGTATTACTATTGACCCACAAACGTAAGTTGGTGGTGAGGTTTGTCACTTGTCAAGCATGAATCAAGTAACCTATATGAATATTCTTAACAAAGAAAAAAAAAAAAGAGCAAGGGCAAAAAAATTGGGGGAGTTCGTGGATTGGTTTTTGCAAGTTGAAGGTCAAACTATGAAGCAAATAAAAATCATCAATTGGAAAAATGTACAAATGGCAAATCAAACCAAATTATAGAATTTAGGTGAGATAAATTACAAACCGAATTTATCAAAAGCATGAAAAAACCAATGAGAAATTAGGTGAGATAACCGGTTTTGACTAATGGGCACCTCTTACAATAAATGCTAGAAACTTTTCTTTTTAAGGAAAATTGTCACTGACCATTAAAATTGGTTGATACATTAGTTAATCAGATCCAATCAATATGATTAATTGATAAAGCACTGATTGATATTAATTAGAAGTTTTTTTGCCATCGGCCGCTTAGTGATTCACAATTTTAAGAAAAATGGTCATTTTCCTAATTTAACAAAGCTTGAGACATTTAATAAAAACGTCTCTAAAAATTATAGAATTTGTCACGTATCCCCAAAGCAAACTAAACTGTGTGGTTGATTTAACTTGAATAATCGATCAATTAGATAATTTGTGTGAGCGTCCAACACATCATTTAAGGAAAAATAAAGTTAATACTAAAATATGAAAAATCATTCTCCATTCAAGCTTAAAGGATATCGAATATGATAAAATATTCAGATTACTATGAGCATGTCTAATGCATGAAATTTGACATTTGAGTGAAACACCCTTCAATGTAGTGATATTTTTATGCTAAATCAAGCATACGCTACACTAAGTGCCAAATTTAAAACAAGTATAAGATATGAAATTTTTAACATTTGATTGTTATTAGTTGATATGTTGAGTTTTTCATTTAATGATCATAACACTGCTTCATTTAGATTATATAAAAAAATAAAAAATAAAAAAAAATAAAAAACTTAATTATCTCATTTTTAGAAACTACATGAATTAGAAATAACATATCGTGTCGTTTAGTCTTCGTGACAAATGGGACATGTCGTTTGTTCTCGCAGGCGGACGACATCAAGTGAATTTTTATTGTTTTCCTTAATTTACTATGTCGTTTTTGCTTAAAAATGTTACATTGTGCAAACACATTTTCACTTGCTCTATAACATAACTAGCATGGTCCAAATAGACACTACATTTACTTCCAAAAGAAACAATGTATTGTTTTTATGATCAAAAGATGCGAAACAGAAATGATGTGCCATTCCTGTTTCATTAAGATTTTTACATGTTAAAATTAGTACATGAATTGTTAACTAGGGAGATGTCATTTGTTCTTCCATGAAAAACGACATGTTGTTAACGGAATAACTCAAACAGCATGCTTTGTTTGACCTGCAAGATATATGCTATTGTCGTTTTATTTAGCTTTATTTTTTTTCCTTCCTGTGTTAGCATTCAAAATACCGACAAAAGAAAACGTGATATATACATGTTGATCTTTTGTAGCGTTATATACAAGATTCATGTGTGTAGTGATCATGATCCGGGGGTAGCATCTTTAAAAAAAAAAAAAAAAAAAAAAAAAAA